CAGTAAAAGCCCGGGGGCGAGGTTTGGTAGGCTGTCGTGCTGGCCCCTTCTGCGCCTCCGTAGTCCCTACCACCGCCAACGGAGCTCCGGCGTGGCCTGCGGCGGTGGCGATCTCGAGCCTCCCCTTCTGTTCGCCGGCCTGATCTTGTGGCACGCCACTGCTCTCCGCTACCTCCACATTTGTCCCTGCAGCACCTGCTGCTCCCGTCTCCAGCGAGTCCCTGTGGGGTGTACGTACCTCACTGCCGCCTTCCACCTTGAGCTCCTCCGCATCGACAAGGTGAATTTTCTTCTCCCCCTTACGGTCATGGCGATTCCTTATGCACCGTGATGGAAATTGTAGTAAGCTATTCCTTATGCACCGTGACTATTGCCAATTTGCAACTGCTGTGAAATCTGATGTTGTACCTTCGCTATAGAACTGCATGTTCACAAGCAGCAAAAAATGTTAGGTTCAGTCAGACCTTGGTTGATCTCTTTATGAGCTGCAGTTTCCCAAACACACCAATTTTTACTAGTACAAAGTAGGCAATGAGCGTCTCCTCGGATACCATACCATTACCAACTACTGATTGCTACCTATCACTTTACGACGGGAACGCTAATTGAGTTGAGAATCAAGCACCATATACAATAGGCACATTACTGCGGCATACCAACTTGCCAAGTCTGAAGCATTTTTAGCATCAGCGTGACAATTAATTTATCTAGATTTGCAGCATAGTGTAGCCTGGAGATGAAACAATTGGCTTAGGGGCATCGTTAGAATCCGAAAGCTTCATATTAGCACCTTCACCCTTTTGCCACAATTCTGAGATTGTACTTTGGCCACAATCCAAAGCAAATTCTGAAGTCTGAACTGAACTCTAAGAAATATAATACAGGTTACATAGACTTGGCTTTGGTTGCACTCCTTTCTCATCTCCTTATTTAAACCCATGATTTTCTAATCCATCTCTGTGTCCCAATTTGCTTTCATATGGTGCATCTCTCTGCTTTCTCCGCACATGTGGAAAATTTAAACACGCCATTAATTTCAAGTACAATTACTAGAAACAGATTTGCACGGGAGAAACTGGACAAAACAATAAAATTGACTTATTCGTCTGCTGTTGAGGCTCAGAAGCTGCTTGGAATCAGCTCAAGACCAAGATGTCTTTACTGTCGAAAATGTCTTATTCACTATGATGGTTCTGCGGTTCCCATGCAACAGAGAAGGATGACCAGAGCCTTGTTATCTTGGGTTTTCTGGCCAATATGTAAAGAATGCAAACTAGGCATCTTAATATCTATGGAGTGCCGAAGCGGCAAACTGGACTTCACCATTGATCAGGTCCTTGAAGTGAATACGATCACAGGGCTGGGATAGTGTTAGGTTTAGAAGAACCTCATGGGGGAAAACCCAGGAAATATGGATCAAGATCGAAAATCCGTGTGGCACTGTGACCTTTATTGATGAAAATGATATATATGTGTACCTACTGGACAAATCTAGGCAATTTACAGTTTGTTTATGAACTTTGCAAGCTAAATTTCGATCTGAGTTCCTCCACCTACTCACATCTTTGCAAGCTAAGAATCTGAATTCTTTGTATTGAAAATGTAGCAAAATCCTTTCACAGTCAATGGAAGCAAGAATAAACATCTCATCAATTATCAACACTTTGTGGTTATCTGGGATGTTATCAATGCATGTAAATTTTACAGTTTTTTCGTAACGGCTTACGATAGGTTTGAGCCACCTTTTCTCCTTTTGAGGAAATCAAATTGTACCTAATGTCATAAAAACCAAGTGGACATGCTGTAGAACATAAAGGCACTTGCGGTAACTAACATTCCAACTGATCAATGTTTATTAGTTAGTTCCTTGGACTGCCCATTTACTTCTCTGCTTTATTGATTAAAATCACAGGAGAAACCCTAGCCGCCGGCGTGAGGAGCTTTGGAAGCCAGGGCGGCGGCCCTGGGTGAAGATGGCGGCGTCGATTTCTTCGGTGGATGACGCGCGCAGGTGCTGGCCGTCCCTCCCGGCCGCGTGGGTGGCGTGAGGACGGCGAGGTCTTGCTGCAGCGGTGCGCGGCTCTCTTCCTCCCAGCCCCTTCCCCCCTGCGGTGGTCTCCTCTCGCCGATCTGGTGGCTGGTTCGTCAGATCTGGGCTTCGAGGATGGGGCGGTGGACTCTTGGAACGGGGGAAACCCCTGGTCGATTTCGCGTCGACCTCGACCCGACAGCGCTCCGGTGCCGCTCTCCCTCTTGAGGGCGGGTCGAGCTTCCAGATCCGTCCCCCTCCTCCTCCTCCCTTCCCCGGGCGAAAGCCTTGGCCTTTTGGCCGGACGGTGGAGGCGCTCTGGCGTCTCGGCCCTTCCTAGAGGCGCCATTCAAGCTGGTGGTTGGGGGTTGTGGACCTGGTGCGTGGTGGTGGGTGGCGGTGGTGGTGCTCGGTTCCCTTGGTCGCCGGCGTTGGTGGTGGCGTGTGGGTTCTTCCGCATCCTTCAACGGCTCCTCGCTTTGCTTGCTGGTTGGTCGCCGGCCGACAGTGGGCATCTGCGTGTTTGACATGGTCTGGACGAAGGGGAGATAGTGGTCTCTCCTCCGACAGTGGCCCGAGGCGGCGGGCGGTGGAGTCGATGGTTTCCTTCACGCGGTCTGGATCTTCATGTTCACGGCTTTTGCTATCGTCGGGTGGCTTCGGCCCTTCGGTTCTAGCTGTGCAAGATCTCCGGCGGCTTGATCGCAGTTTTTCTTGCTGCCTTATTCTCTGTAGTGAATTTGGCATGTATTTTTCAGTTTTTGGTCAAGTCTTTGCCTTTGTAATTCAGCATCATTGTATCCTAGCCGGTTGATGGCTTCATTAATTTGAAGTCGGGCCTTTGTGCCTTCTCTCTAAAAAAAATCGCAGGAGAAACTATTTCGCGGCGGCCTCTCCCAGCAGCTATAGTGGCTCCATAGAGGGCAATCGCGGTAAATAGCGGAAAATTTTCTGGTGGGAGAGATGATTTCTGGAGGGTTTTGCTGATTTTTGAGCCAATTAGAGGGATATGTGGAGGTTTTCATGGTAGCAGCCATAGCGTAGCGGCAAAGCTCCCGGGCAGCTATAGCGCAGCTATCACGGCTATTTCGTGGGCTATTTGAATCTTATGTTTATTGGAGCAATGAGAAATTTACAACATGTTAGTAATTTTTAATTTCAACCATGATAACTCAAACCAGATTTGCGCTATAGGTGGAGCTGAAGAGCAATACATGTGGAGCTCAAAGGAACACAAATGATTTCATCTGTTGTGGATCGAAGAAGGTTTGCAATACTGATATATTATGCAGGTTAGCATAACTCAAAATTTGTAATAATTTGAGAAAATACAACAGACCATGAATTTTGATTTACATAAGAGAATCTCCTATGCACAATCTACTTGCCTACCTTGTCCGAATTGTCTCTGTTTCACCTGGGGCCTGATACATCTGAGGCTAGAGGTGGAGCTGAAGAGCTCACATTTCCTGTTCTACCAAAATTTGCTGGAATTGTTACAACAAAGTTATGCTCTATGTTGAGGTCTGCAGTCATGACACCTTCCAATACCTTTACCACCTCAGACATTTTAGGCCTTTTTTTGCAATCAATCTGCAAGCACCACATTGCAAGCATCATCATCTGAATTGCATCTTGCTTGTGTGCTTGCATGTTGTTGCTGTTATTGTCAATCAAATCTACCAACCGATCACTGTTTACCTCTTCCTCCAATAGGCTGATGAGATGGATGCTCTCTTCTGACCGGGAAGTGTCGAGGTTCTTTCTTCCACTGATGATTTCCATGACCACGACGCCGAAGCTGTAGATATCCGCCTTTTCCGTGATCTGGGATGTCAACCATTCAGGAGCTAAATATCCAGGCGTGCCTCTCATTCCGGTAACCACTTGGCTCATATCCCTGTCTATGAGTTTGCATAGTCCAAAATCAGAAAGTTTAGCATTAAAGTCATCATCTAAGAGGATGTTTTGTGGTTTGACATCCAAATGAGCAATTCGTTTTGTGCACTCCTCGTGAAGATTAGAGAGGCCCTTAGCTATATGAGCTATAATCTTGCACCGCATGCTCCAATCCAGAGGAGAAGCATCATTGTCATGTCGACAATAGATCCATCTGTCCAAGGATCCTTTGGGCATGTACTCATATACCAAGAGCCTGTGGGATTTCTCTGCACAGAAACTAATCAATCTCACCAGATTAATATGATGAATGTTGCCAATTGTCTGAACCTCTGCTGAAAATTCTCTTTTGCCCTGACCAGTTCGATCCAAACGTTTTACTGCAATCCTTTCATCACCTAACTGTCCCTTGAAAACAGACCCAAATCCTCCTTCCCCGAGCTTGTCTGCAAATTGCTCGGTTGCTGCTCTTAGCTGTTGAAATGTGAACCTCATTGGTGTTCCTTGTAGCTCCCCAAACTCTTCCTCTTCTTCCATCTCATGCTGTCATTGTCGTTTACATATAAAGAAGGCGATGAGGAACAAGATGGTGAGCAAAATGAAGCCGCCTACAGGAGCTAGAATTGCAATAACTCTTCTTCTAGAGGGGGATTTCGGTTTCATGCTTGTTGGCCCAATAGCTGTAGGCAGAGTACTTGGGGTCGGAGGTGTTACCTCGGCCAGGGGTGCAGGCAGGGGACTTTCAGCTGTAGGTGAGAGTGTTTGATTAATCAGGGGACAGAAGATGACCTGGTACTTTGTGCCCGACGGGCAAGAGTAAGTGGATGTATCATCAGGCTTGCTGTAAGCATCTGGGCACATCTGCTTAAAGAAGGCTGAGTAACTTGTGTTGCAACGGCTTGCCGTGCTCCCAGTACATGCATTGCTACACCCTCCTGGAGCCTTCAGCTCTCTTGGGCACTCCGATGTGATGTTGGCTGCACAACACGGCCCCTTGCTGCATCCTGACCTTCCCTGAACCGGCACCGGCAGGAAGTCCATGGGCACGTTGAAGCCATCAATGAGCGAGATGTCGAAGAAATCATCATCACTTTGGCCTTGGCCAAGACTGAACTCGCCCAGCGTGTTTGGCGATCGACCACTGACCGTACAGGCGAGCAAGCCGCTGCAGTCTCCAGTTTGGCATGACCCGCCTTCGCCAAGGAATGAGCAACCTGTGCGCGCCCAGATGCGCCCTGCTGAGGTACCAGCGGGCACGTTCAACGCCCACGTCTGCCCTGGATCAAGCTTCACGCCACCTCCCGGCAGAGCGGCTGGCCACACGGTATAGGAGCATTGGTTGATGATTTTGAATGTGGTGGCCTCGCTGGTGGCAGCGAGTAGGAGTACGAGGAGGAGAGGCCGGAGCCGGAGAGCCGAAGAGGTACTCGCCATTGCCATTGTTGCACGCGTTCACTTGAATCAGAGTCTGAGTTGGAAACTTGCAATAGGGTTCCTGTGATGGCTAACAGGGTGGAAGAGTGGTAGGGGATTGTAGATAGGGACTGCATCAGTTTGTTGATTCATTCAACGGTCAGCATAAAAACAGCCTAACATGCATATAGCCATGACTGTTTGATAGGAACAGACTTGCTTGTTTAGTCCCTTTCAAATTGTAGCTGTCACTACCAGAATTAACGTAGTTGCCGACGGCCTCATCCATGCCGACGGCCCCCGTAGGCATAGATTGATATATCCCGACGGCCTAGGGCAGGCCGCAGGCATAGAAAAGCCGTCGGCCTATGGGCAGCACTTGACGGAGGCCACCGTTAGCGTGGAATGTTGCCGACGGCCCTGGCCGTCGGCATAGATGTATGGACACCGTCGGCAAATCATCTATGCCGACGGCTTTTCTATGCCGACGGCATCCCGAGATACGCCGATGTATATTATGCCGACGGCCCTATGCCTATGGGGGCCGTCGGCATAGGCCTATCCCGACGGGAATCAGGGCTATGCCTACGGCCTGGGCCGTAGGCATAGGGGTTTATTCTGGTAGTGTGTACGTCTTCCAAAGAAAAAGAATGGGAATCTATGCTTGTGCATAACGTGTTGTTTGATCAATTTTTCTGCCTAACAAATTATTTAAGCTGATGTAGACCTAAACCATAAACCCTAACTGTGCACATCGTAATTTGTTCATTCATAATCTGCTGTTATGATTTGTGGCGGCATTCCTGATCTGGAATCTGGAGTCAATGGCAGTTTAGAGGTACCTGGTGTTTGGGGGCAAGCTGAAGCTGACAGCGGTTGGCAGCTGCCTGGAAGCAGCTGGAGGCCTCCTTCACCCGTCGACTGGCCTAGCTATTATATGACGTCAACCACATGGAGCCATGCATGTCTCACTCACCATAACTCTGTGGTTTTCGTGCAAACAAGGACAGTGAAAACCTTGTGATCTTTGCGAACATCTCTGTTAATTGGTAGCTGTTTTTTGTAGAGCTGAATCTGAGGTACGTTGCACGCCTTATGTTGGTTGTGCCGTGGACAGAATTAAATCTCGCAGCTGGTATTGCGCCATCTTAATTAGCTGATTGTAATTCTATTCCTGAGCAGTAGTATGTACTTTAATTCTCTCTTCCAAATTAATTGAAGTTCTAGTTTTGTTCATTTTCTAGACTGTCAAGAAGGGAAAGTTTATTTTTGAATTACTAAGCAGTGAGCATTGCATTGACACACGAGCAGGTTAAGAGTTCCATTGAATGAACTGGAATAGACAAAGACTTGACCATATTTGTGGCTGAACTGTTCTCTGAATTAAACCGCCTCCTATATATCACAACTGAAAGACATTCTATGATACGCGTATTTGCCAAGCTTTGTTCTTTTTTTCATCTCTAAAACATGCATGCTTGCCCTTGTTCCTGAGACAGCTAGCCTGATTACATGAATTCCTAAGGTTGGAGGACATCCAGAGAACAGACGCAAGCTTGATCAAGATGGTCTTCAAAGTACCTCAGCATGTCACGGTCTCACTGGTACTTCTATTTTAAACATACGCTCAAGCTTGTGCCGTGTCGTACGTATCACATATGGTCTGGGGAAAAGCGTTGTGGTTTGAGGAAATGAATGAATGCTTATGGCAGGGACAGCTGTGTTCCTAATGCCGGCGTTCTTGGGATTTATGAATGTGTCCTGAAATGACCTGGAAATGAGAATGCAAAGGGAATTTCAGTCAAGAGTGTGCTGTACTGATAGCTATGTGTGAACCATTGGAGAGCAAGTATTGGAGAAGCAGCAGCAACCTCAGTCTCAGCAGCCGCTCCAATTTCTACCGCATAAACTTCAGTCATGTAAACAATCGAAATGACTTGTGAAACCGTGCTTACACCACTTCTTTTGTATAGGAAAGATTATGTGACATCGCCATGTATGGTCAAACGGATGCATATATGCAAACCACGTTCCGGCCATGCTTTGTCTTTATTCAAAATAAACATGCTGACTTTGCCAGCCCAAATGCCAAAAAAATTAGAGCAGTTTCTTAGCAAATCTGTTAAATCGGACCAAACGGAATTTTCCGTCAAGTCCACACTACCTCCTGCTGTCAATCTCAAGGAAAACAAAAGGACTGCAGGTGGATCCTCAACACATTAGATTTGACAATGGCAACATGATGTTTAAACCTCATCCGAGAACAAGAATAAACAGAAATATAAGTTTAGGTGATATATATTTGGGCCTGAAACTCGTGGCTAAAGAGAAGAGCTGCCAAGCACAACCATACAAAGTTACAAACCAAGCAAGGTATGACGAAACCTGACTTGAAATAATACTTGGGGAAGCTGAAAATCCCTGAATAGGATTAGGTATTCAAAAGCATCTTGCTGCATTATAAAGTTGGCTAGATAAAGGCACAGTAGGTTTTTTCAGATAACATAGAAGCACTGTCGACCGCATTGATGTGATGCAACAAACTCTGCGAGACCTCCGGTGGCCATTCCTTCACCTTGAGAAATAAATTCATTATCAGCTCGGCGACATAAATAAGAGCTATGTAAACATATATCATATTCCTATCTATATCTACTAGGAATACTGATGAAAAGATAAACATCCTTGAACCCTTTTTCTTTTGCCTCGCTTTATATATAAAGCAACAACCAAACAAGTACACGACCAAACAATACAAGATGGTGAAGTGGCCCTCATACAATGCCGATCCCGGGATACCGGATCACGCAACACACAAGCGACTACGCTACCAAAAGAGAATCCAGGAAGATCGAGTACAATGTCCTATAACACCTAAGCTCACGACAACACCCTCAAGAGGGAGAACGGCGCTGAGCATCGCAGCTTCCGAGTCGTGACAGACAAGGGTCTTCACCCGGAGCCCTAGGAGAGAAGCACCACGACGACGTCTTCAAGAATAGAGCGGCGCTGAGCTTTCGCTTTGCAGCTTTCCCGTGCCTCTACGAGGTCTTCAAGACAAGCGTAACGAGACCAGATCCCCAGGTCCGGATCGTGGTGCACCACTGCCAAACACAAAGCGCGCACCCAAGCCACCCGCCACCCACACAACCAAGAGGGAAAGCCACCACCATCGCCATGGTGGCTGCCAGAGAGCCCACAATGTGGACCACCATCCGGAGCCGCCGCCCGACATCCATTTCCCACACACCACCACCGTCCACATCGCAGTGCCTCAACCTCGAAAGGAAGAGTAAAAGGCGTCTCCTTTCACTCTTTTCCCGACATCAATTAGGGAACCTGGGCTGACGCCTCCACGGTAGGAGGCATCCACGCCTGCGTCCCCATCCAGTCCCGATGGATCGGGGGAGACGCAATCCCGTGACTACCGACGCCCGCCTTCGAGCAATCTCCCACGATGCCATGCCCGAGGCAGACAATGCCGATCTGCTCGATAGAAGAGCAATGTCCCGACCACCACCACCAACCACCACAACGAGCCGAGGCAAATCTAACCTGCTCGGAGCTACAACACTTACCCGTCTCGGGCCCAAATCTGGCCCACCCGAGCGCAAGCCCTAGAGAAAAGCCACCACCATCGCATGTGCGGCAACCTCGACACCACGGCCGGTACCTGCCCAACCCGCACGCCGCTGGCTTAGTCTGAGAGAAGGAAGACCGCCGCCACCGCCCTGCGTCACCCATCGGAGCACAGTTGTGCATGCTGCCATACCACTCGAAACCCGGACATCCAGCCTTTGGACAACCACCAGCACCCATGCTGCCGAGGCCAGACACTGTCCGGCCAGCACCGCCTACAGTCACAGCCAACCAAGGTCGGCAACCGCCGTCCCGTGCCGGCCACAGCCTGGGCCGGCGGATTGAGTGCCAAATCTAGCACCCCACAGGGCCGCCATGGGGGAATCCCAAGCCGAGCCAGACCACACGACCCACGGCCCCGTACACACCTGCCCCTCCTCTCCTCCACGCAGTCGCCGCAGCCCCGCCGCACCTGAAGGAAATATGCCCTAGAGGCAATAATAAAGTTATTATTTATTTCCTTATTTCATGATAAATGTTTATTATTCATGCTAGAATTATATTAACCGGAAACATAATACATGTGTGAATACATAGACAAACAAAGTGTCACTAGTATGCCTCTACTTGACTAGCTTGTTGAATCAAAGATGGTTAAGTTTCCTAGCCAAAGACATGAGTTGTCATTTGATCAACGGGATCACATCATTAGGAGAATGATGTGATTGACTTGACCCATTCCGTTAGCTTAGCACTTGATCGTTTAGTATGTTGCTATTGCTTTCTTCATGACTTATACATGTTCCTATGACTATGAGATTATGTAACTCCCATTTACCGGAGGAACACTTTGTGTGCTACCAAACGTCACAACGTAACTGAGTGATTATAAAGGTGTTGGGGAACGTAGTAATTTCAAAAAAATTCCTACGTACACGCAAGATCATGGTGATGGCATAGCAACGAGAGGGGAGAGTGTTGTCCATGTACCCTCGTAGACCGTAAGCGGAAGCGTTATGACAACACGGTTGATGTAGTCGTACGTCTTCACGATCCAACCGATCCAAGTACCAAACGTACGGCACCTCCGAGTTCAGCACACGTTCAGCTCGATGACGATCCCCGGGCTCCGTTCCAGCAAAGCTTCGGGGATGAGTTCCGTCAGCACGACAGCGTGGTGACGATGATGATGCTCTACCGGCGCAGGGCTTCGCCTAAACTCCGCGACGATATGACCGAGGTGGAATATGGTGGAGGGGGGCACCGCACACGGCTAAGGAACGATCCGTAGATCAACTTGTGTTGTTGTGCCTAGAGGTGCCCCCCTGCCCCCGTATATAAAGGAGTCAGGGGGAGGGGGTCGGCCGGCCAGGAGGGGCGCGCCAGGAGGAGTCCTCCTCCCACCGGGAGTAGGACTCCCCCCCCTTCCTTGTTGGAGTAGGAGAGAA